ATTAAATTAAATTAAGTTTAAAATAATAATAATTAAAAAAAAGAACTAGCACTCTAGACTCCTAACTGCAGTGTTAGTGCTCCGGCAAAACTGCAACACAACACTCACCACAATGGAAGTCAAGTCCTCACTTTCAAATCGACCAATTGCCAGTTCCATTGACCTATACATGGCTGCTGAAATTCGCTGAGTAATCAGTCGGTTCAGGTCTATTGACCTACCAAGAAGCTAAAGAAAAAATGCCATGAAGTTTTGAACTGAAAGTCAAATTACGAGACAAGCTGTACAAGGACTATGAGACTGCACAGATTAACAGACTCTCACATGGTAAACTTGCATTCCAAACACACAGAAACAAAGCAGATGGATAAAATTTATAAATTCATGAACAAATGAAGTATTACAATTTACATCCCAATTCTCACAAACACAAGTAAAACCACATGTTGCATTTACATCTATTCATATAAGCATTTTATGCTTCTGTGACATGGTGCCGACAACATATTGAAAACTGGTGAAAGACATTATTAGGAAGACAACGCTACCACACGTGACATTCCTATTTGGCTTATGTTTGCTTAACTGCAACAGACATTTGCATTAAAACAGGATCTTTAAGGTTTTTTTCTTAATTTACTCCATATGACAAAAAAAGCTGATTCTCAAATGTCATTTATGCCACTTAGATGACAGGACATAAAGCACAGAAAGAGTTTTATATACCTACATAAATCAACACCATTGGAAAATTGCCAAGCAACTCGAATACAACAGAGTATGAGTTAACTCACTTGGACATGTCTCTGTTTCAGCAGTGTCTCATAGCGGTTGGACTGTAGCAACTGAATGGTTGCTCCCTGATTCTTGCATTCTGAACGTAATCGTTTTTCCAGAAGCAGGCTAATAAGAAAGGAAGAAAAAGTTTCAAGTAAATTAGACAGCAAAGCAGAGCAGAAATGCATCAATAAAAGTTCTGACTACTGGAATAGCTACCTGCCAGCCATTGCCTTGTAGTACGCAAATATTTGGTCTGCCAGCTTGTAGACAAATTGGTCAAAACATAGGTTTACCTTGGGGGAGAAAAAAATTGTGCGTTTAGAGATACTTAAAATTAAAAGAGGGGAGCTTATCCAAGACTTCCCGCTGTTTATCAAACATAATTAAGGAAGTTAATGCATCCAAATTTCCCAGTACAAGAGCAGATGACATTCAGGCTTCAGCATTAATGTGAGGCGTTTTGCACAGGTCTACAGGTTTCCTCACAACACATCACCCAACCAGTGGTCACAACATACCACCCATCTTCTGGACTTTCTTCTCAGTTTGTTTATTATCTCCAACTATTTTGAATCTCTTATAATAGGTCTTGGCCTTTAGCATAATTTTCACATTCAGGTACAGACTATTTGTCTCCAGTAGGTAAGGTTACTTTACCTCTGCCTCAATCTCATCATAGAGGAACTGCTTCTTAAATTTAGTAAGTGCATAATGAGCACTGTCATTATAAAGGTCCAAAGAATAGAGAACATACCTGAATGAAAAAGAATAAAAAAAAGTTATATGTCTATAGAAATTATGATTCTTTAGGATGGTGCAGTCAAGATGTTGTAAGCCAGTCAATATTGTAATCTACATGGGTTCATGCAAACAGGATCATTTTTTTGTTTGAGTTTATATAAAAAGAATCACATTTTCTCCTTTAAGAAAGTCTTTTGTTAGTTCAAGAAATTGTATAGATAAGTTTGCAGTCTGAAACTCGTTTTCCAGATGCAGCTTTCCATCAAAATGGAACTATGCTTTTACCACTATGCATTATATTTGACATCTTTGAGGAGTAAGTAAGGAGAACTCACTCAGGGAACAACATATTTGGCTGGTGCAATGGTATTTATATGAAAGGTTTCTTATTTCAATTATTCACTTCAAAAAGAAAACTTTGAGAATCTGTAAATCAGCAAATGTAAGAGGAAAAGCACATGAAGGTTTAGAATACCTACTCAGTGACTGTTTGTTAAAAGCAATTAAAGCAGTAACTTTATAATACGGAGAGACAATCATTAAGAATAATCATTCAACTGAAGAGCACAAGTAGGTCTTACTCCATCATTGATGCCTCTTTGGTCTCCAAAATATGATCTGTCAGAATCCAAGGCATGGACATCTCAATGGGAAACTGGATTCTTCTGCCCATGGTCAGCTCTAAGAAGAATTCCCTGAACCACAGCTGGGACAGATCACAGCATTGCTGCAGGGTTTCTTTCAGAATAAATAAGGAAGAATTACACTTCTTATAGAAATACATTAAGAACAATAAAACTGTGATTCTGATGATGCAATGTGAAACAAAAAAGTAGGCATGAGTCACTAGAGCTATACATAGGCCAAATAATGTAAACCAAATTCAAAACGTAAAGCCCATGACTTTTTCAGAGTGCTGAACTTCACGTTGGCTCCCAAAGTGGTGCCTTATTACAGAAAAAAACTTGGAAGTGGACCAGACTACCAGTTAAACAGAAAAACTATGTACACCAGTAAAGGTGGATTTCTAGTTTAATTTCTCAGCTGGTGGCTGAGAAAGCCATACACTGAACTTGGGAAACAGCAGGCGAAGGAGACAAAATTGTACCAGATCCTCCAGTACCATCTCTCCTTCTGGAGGACTGAATCGCTCCACACGTTCCTGTCGATTAGATGGGCAGGAAATGACAGACAGACACATGAAGGAGGGATTAAAACAGAAAGTTTCTAAGGCCGCTGTCAAGGACGTGGAGGTGTGTTTCCCACCTTTCCAGAAAACACTTGGCACAAGCCGCCTTTTGCAGAAGGCTTGAGAACCAAAATGGGAATGAACTCCTTACATTAAGATCTTCTGAAGGCCTTTTGAAGTGCTGTTCCCCAGTAGCATTATGACTGACATTAACAGGCTCCCCTTCTCTGAGGGTAAAGGAGTCCAGTAGCAAAACAAAAAATGAAAGACAACACAGCATGGTGATGACAAAGACTAGATACATTCAATGTCAGTAGGTGAATTCCTTAGGACAGCATGTTTCCGATTACAATTAACTGAATAGTAAGAGTAGTGAAATGACATCAAATTTACCACCACAGAGAATTTGCTTCCTCTGTACTTAAAACAAAAACGAAAAACCCCAAAAAACCCAAAACACAAAAACTACTTCCTTTTTAAAATTTCAATGTGTATAGGCTTATCTGTCCCTTGTTTATATAAAAACATACATTAAAAAAATAGAAAAGGTAGGTAACAATATGGAATTTGATGCATTATAAACAAACGTATAACAAGTCAAAATAAAAATCCCACCACAATACTGAATATCAGGTCTCAGAAAAAGTTTGGACAGACCAAGGCTTTTGATAAATAAACCAAAGGTAAGTTGGCTTAGGCAATCGGAAACATTTTCCAGGTCGTGTTAGAGGTGTTAGGACATGCTAAGCTGGACACTGATCATCTACGTATCTTACCACTGAAATTTATCAAATGAGTGTAGAAGAAAGACTCGCGATGGAATTTTTCTATGTCCAATATGGTGGGCCCCTCAAGGCTACTTCTCAAGGTTTTCTTGGAACCACTTTTGTCAGCAATGAGGGACTCTAACATAGTTCTCACCATGTAAAGCTGTATCATTAAAGGAAACAATTGTGGTGGAAAGGGGGGGGAAAAAGGAAAATACATATGGTACATTAGTTGAGCAACACTGAGAATTACTATCAGTAAGCGACTGCTCCACTTCAAATTGAAAACTGTGTGGGTAAAAGCCTTTCAGGCAAGAGGAACAGATGCAACGCTAGCCTACGCACCAGCACGAATGCCTACCCATGCCAAGGGGACCTCCACTGACACTTAGCAGCAGACCATTTGCAGTGGAACAGTTCACATCACCACAGAAGTAAAAGTAATAAGTAATGTCTTACCACCAAAGTTTAAAAGAGGCGGATAGATGTAGGACTGCCTCAGAAACTTGTGTGTCACATGCAATAGCTTTTCCAATCCCAGAGACTTGAGCTGCTTCAACAGCTCAGCAGAGTTTAAGGACTCTGTCATAGTGCGAACCATGTAGAGCTAAAAACCAACAGACAGGGGCAGGCAGGGGAGAGAGAATCCGTTAATAAAAACACACGGGTAAATAAGGAAGGGGAAACAGAAGCAGAGAAAATGTGTTAGTTTGTTAAAAATGAAAAGCAGCACGGTAAGCATGCAGAGGAGGACATACAGAAAGGTTTCTTCGTTCAGAATAATCACGGCAATCTGGTGCTCCCTCAAGCGAAGGGAAAAGCTCCCGTTCACTTCAGAGGGTGCTTAGAGAGCCATTAGCTTCTCAAATGATTTCACAAAGATTTCCAAGTATTACCAATTCATACATAGCCATTTTAGAACTGCATGAAATTGAGAAAAATCTATCTAAAAATCGATATATTTGACCTCCCTTCCTCCTGTCAGTTGAGACAGATAAGTGTGCCAGCCCAAGAGCAGAAAAAGCAGACAGAACCGTGTACTCTAAACAGCCTGTTGCAGCCAGTGAAACAAAGCCCTTAAACATACCAAGCACAGGAGAAGCACACTGGTGGTGATATTTAATTTTTTCCACCCAGAAAATTAGAAATCAAAACATTTTTTTCCCGTTCCCAAAACAAAATTTTTATTAAACCCATCTTAGCACAATTTAAGCAACTTTTTATTACCCAAGATTATTATTTTTCGTATATACTCTCTTCCTCACAGATTAAAATATTCTATTCACAAACCACAGTTGCCTTCAATTTTTACCCCAAGTGCTCAGTACCTCATTTTCTCAGATGAGCTATGAATACCAGATCATACACTCTCCAAACAAATTCACAAAGAAAATAAAAAAGAGAATTATATGGAGGTAACAAGAATGAGCATCTAGGTATGGGATTTCAATGACTATCACAGAAAACACACTTGAAATACCTCTTGTTTTAGGGGCAGCAGCATACTAAATAGATTTTAGGGAGCAGTTTTATCATTCATTACTTGAACAGTAAGAGGGATCTTGGGGAAGTCAAATACTCCCCCATATTTTACAGGCAATCATTTATATTTTAAAACTACATAGACATCTATTGAATAATGGGATTTAGCAAAAAAAAAAAAAATATCCACCAGCCATACCAGGGATGGGAGTCAGTCAAGAAATAATTTAAATAGTTTAAATATATTAGTTAAATAATATTAGGAGCTCAATGAGAAAGTATTTCTTCCCAGTAAGTCAAATTAAAGAGACTGAACACTTGGAAAAATTCTACATCAGAGTAGAAAGTGACAGCAACCCAGACAGAGGACTTTGGTTAAGTATATATAATTTTGTAAATATAAATCTAATCAGAGTAGATTTTGAACATTAAAAAAAAACAAAACAAAAAACCCTGCAATTTTTAAGTAGTTCAGGCCAGAGAGAAAATATTTCATGCAGTAATTGTTGACTGATATCACAACCACCAGGAAAAATACCTGAGTGCTGGAGGGTCCCACTGCACGCCTTGGGACCTTGATGTCAAAACCACTTTTGGGGTCCTTCTCTCCCCTTAGAGCTGGGTCATTGAACGGCTCGTGACCAGCCTCCCAGTCACAGACTGTCTTTCTGATGGCCTGCAAAACACTGAACACAATTCACACCACTTCAGACCGGCGTGCATCCAAGCGCATTGAGGAGATAATTTTACTTTTTTAAGCACTCTTCCACAAGCCCAGAAACTTTGCAACAGCATTTGGGACCTCGGGCTAACTCATAGCAACCACAAACAACTTCGCCAACAACTTCAAGAATGCCACATCCACAAAACAATCGCTCCACGCTGTTTATCAAAAAGGATAGTCCAGAGCCCTTCTCCTCTGTCAGAAGAAAGCTGACCTCTGAAACTGGTTCACCAGAGACAAAAGTCACTTGTAAAGAACTCGCCTCTGGGATCCTTAGCAAGCGCAGAAAGCCATTTTGTTCTCCTAAACCACAAAAAGCAGATTATTCAATCAAACCAAAGTAGATTATTAACCAATCTAAAGAGAGACAATTCGGGCTTGAAATGAAAAGAAACAGTAGAATTCCTGTTTCCAGCAGAACTCCACAATTCAGCTGGAATTTATACAAACAGCCTCATACTTCTAACTCCAAATACTGAACTGGACTTCAGATAGTTGTCAGAAACACAGCCTGCCATATCCTGTGGCGTGCTGAAAGACCAAGCAAATGCCTCCTCCCAGATCTGAGCAGGTATGAAAGTAATAGTTCCTTATTGCATGAAAGTCCCTGGGACAAAAAGACTCTCCCTGCAAACTTCGTAATTTCGAGTAATCTGTTTATTTTTAGCTTATGATGGTATTTTTGTGGCAGTCAGAGCATTTAGCAATAGCCTAATTAGCCAAAGACTTTCACCCCTAAGAGCTTTGCAATGAAATGTGGGAGTAAGCAAATGGTAAACAAGTCAAGATTAAAAGCAAACAATTAGGGACAAAAAAATAAGGTGGGGAAATGCTACCAATCAGTGTGAGCAGACAGAGCACTTGGAAGAGAAGTGTAAGGCTAATAAGCCAATAGCAGCAGAAGCTGAGAAAGAAGGCAGGATGCTAAGGGGGCAGAGATAAGACTATGGGGTGGGATGTAAACATGAGACACAGGGAGAAGACACACTGGAATCATAAAGAAGGCGGACAATTACACCTTTCTGCAAAATAAAAATACTAGTCTTGCTTTCAACATTACAGTACTTATCTTTCCTTAAAATAAAAATAAACTACAGGCAACGCAAGACTTCCTGCAGTAGTCCTAAGTGGCTCAAGACAGTCTGGACTCTTACTGTAGCCATGTTGGCAGCCATTCATTTTTGAGTCCACACTTCAGATTTCTTCAACTTCCAATACATATTCAACCAAGCTAGCTTTGAATACCAGACAGACTAGTAGGGCAGTACAGACTTAAAGAGGCAAAATTTAACAGCTTTGCAATTCTGGAACAAATTTAGTAAGATTTGGGGGAAAGAATAAAAGAGAAGATGAAAACAAGAATGTTACCTCTGAATGACATTTTTCTTCTTTTTAATGGCTTGTCTTAACGGCTCTCTAAGCGTGACCTGGGCAAAGTCTTGAAGAGCTGCATAAATGGTATGGCGAATGGCATGATTGAAAACACTTTCCATCCTTCCCATCAGCACCTGAAGACCTTTGATCATGGCAATCACCTGCAAAAAAAGAAAAATTGTGTATTTTTCTTATTTTGTTTTTATAATTGTTCAAAAAGCCCTTTTTTAAATACAGAAAATCGTAAAGTTCCAAAAGATAAAGGATAGTTTTCCTGTGCTCCTCCTACAGAATGAATGGAGGAAAACACGCTCTTTCAGAGTTAACACAGGGCATGCTGTCTTTTTGCACTGGGCAAGAAAATGCTTATGGAGAATGTTCTCCTTTGTATAGAATTTATCTTTGGAAAATCCTTGTAAAAAAAATTATCTTACCTCAACCAAAGCAAACTTCTCCTCGCTAGTATAATTGTATCTTGTTGCTCTTTCATACTCTTCTGCATTGTCAGGACAATCTTTATTAGAATATTTGTCAGTTGGGTGTACCAGCTTCCAGGAATACTGCAGTTCACACAGCAGAATAGGGAGAAAAAGGATGGCGGGGGGAGGAGAAAAAAGGCCTGAGAAACACAAAACATAGCTGGACACAAATAACATGCTTTAAGAAATATTCCCGTATTTTCAAGAATTTGAAAAACAGTATTTGGTACTATTCTCAAAACCTGCATAAATTCTGAAACTACTATCTAATGGAAATGCCAAACAATAATTTGCCTAACAAATTTTCTTGAAAGCCAGCGATCCTGTATTAGCTCAAAAAATGGAATTTACACTCAGCAGGTAATGCACTTCAGGGTATTTTCTACTGACTAAATGCTAGCATAGGCAAAAGTTTCTTCTCCACTTCAAGCATCAGAAACACAGAGAGACCTCAGAGCATAACAAAAAAATCCATCACACCCACACACAAAAAGAGAAGCTTCCAATTTGTCCAAATATTCACATTCAGAATTCAAAAGACAACTGGAAAACTACAGTTTTTTGGTTTTGTTTGGGGGTTTTTTTTATGTTTACTAGGATTAAAGGCGTGGAAATAGCTGTATTATCTGTGACAATATCACCTGCACAGTGTGCATTTCTCTTAAATACTGCCTTTTCAGTCACTGCAAACACAGCTCAAAATGTTCCTGAGCAGTGTCAGGCTGATCTAACATCCATCAGGTTACATCTAGTGAAAAATCCTAGTCACATTCAAATGCAATTTTCTCACAGTTTGAGTTCAGCGAATAGTAAGGTCTGGTTGATATTACCTTTGCATAAGTGTTAGATTACAGAGCAATATAAATTTGCCTGCTATAATGGATTAATATTTGCACCAATTTACCTATGGCAAAGAATAGCATCACACCCCGCAACCTAAGTGCTACAAAGAGGACACTAGGGAAATTATTAAACAAAGATTAAGTATTTTGGGGCCATTAAGTTCACAGGGTTAAGTTGGACATCAAATGTATTCTGGAATTTTTTATCTGAACATGATGCATGTAACAAGGTTCATGGATACTGAGTGAATACAGAAGACAGGTAAATAAGTAGCATACTCCAGATCAGAATAAATTCTCAGTAGAAGGACAGGGAGAAAGTGAACACAAACTTACTTAAGGGAATCCATACAAATCAGAAAGACAAAGAAAAGCAGTGATAATAGGCAAAAAAACCTGCTGTGGTCCTCAAAGAAAGTTTGTTCTGGAACTGGGAGGATAAAAACAGAGCTAAGAATGAGAGACTTTCTACAGAGAGAAAATAAAATATAATTTCTATAGAGATAAAATAAAATAGGAAGATTGACACTGTGAAAAGAGAGCCTGAATGCAGCAATTTGCAATGACAGAAATAAAGGGAGCAAGTCTGGGAGTTGCAGCTGCCAGAGACTGATGACAGCAACCTCTCTTAGGGAGGGGAAAAGGAGAACAAGACTTTCACCATAAAATACACTGTTGATTTAAAGAGGAATAGGATAATACAGGAAAAAGCATGACTCATCTACTGGCTTTCAAAAGAGGCAGTTAAAAATACAGAAGAGAAAGAAAACTGGGTCTCTAGCTATGCCCACTCTGACCGCACTGGATTCACACAGTGCAAATGGCTTGATGCTCCCTCAGACATCAGAGGCGGAGGAGGAGCAAGTCGGGCTTCTCTCATACAATATGTCATCTGCTTCAACCCCTCCTAGAACATGCTTTGGTGCAGGTAAGATATAAAAGGGACTCCTGCATCCTCCTCTTCAATTTCTGCCTTAAGCAGTTTCTTATTGGAAAAAACACAGTCACTTTTCTAACTGGCATCTGTTTTTAAAATAAATTATTAAAATACAGAGAAACAACTCTGCAGGTTCTTTATTTCCCCTCCCTCATCTCCTCTCAAATTCTCCTTTCCCCACATTTACTTTCCTTTTGACTAACAGCCTAATCTAAAGCCAGTGGGAGCCTTTCCATTCATTTTTGTGTCTTTGGTTAAGACCTTACATGCTTCAATTTACTAAGCAATAATGTCTAAACATAGCCAGTTGAAGCTGTTCTATCACCTCCTGTGTGACTGCATGTTGGTATGGGTATTTCTAACAGCACATAATTTTAAACAACGTTTAGAGGAAAATAATGAAGTCTTAGTCTACAAAATGTACGTATCAAGAGCAACATAAAAACATCTGATCAAGGCTCACAGGTGATCACCTATCCATTAAATATAACAAGTTGAATGTACTGTATGAGATGGTACATGCTACTGGATCTTCAAAGCAGCAACATTTCTCCTAGCCTCTCAGAACTTCATGTTCTGAGAATGTGGTTTGGAGCAGGAGGAGAAAAGGAGTGAAGGAAGAAGGAAGAGGGGAATTAAGGGAACAAAATGCAACACATATTTTTCATTCCATTGAAGCAAAGCCTGTCCAACCTCACCAAGCTGCCTCTTTTTCATCCGGTTTTATTCCCCAGATAACATACCACTTCCATGACATGTGCACTCCACTGGGAGAGAAGCTGCAGGCCTTGGAGAGAGAGATCAAAGAGCTTCCGATACTCCGCATCTGTTTTTTGAGCTTCCTGTCGACCAGACCCAGTCACCACCTAGAACATTATTAAACAGCAACAAAAAAACCCAAACCCACATCAGAACATGATGTATCCAGCATCCATAGCCAAATTTCTACATAGATTTGTTTTAAGCATTAGAACAGCATCATGTACCAACACCTGCATTAATATCAGCTTTTTCTTCCAGAGACTTACATAGTTAAACTTCACAGATTTTTGGTCGAATGATGGAAACCACTGCTATCCCTAATCACCAAAATATTGTTGCAGATGAATTCAAGACACTAATTATATATGTTATATATATGTTATAGGTTCTGTATACATGTGC